CAAACCCACCAGCCACTCCCTGGAAGGAAGATGGGGCAATCTACTTCCATAGTGATACTGCCTTGGAAACCCAAGAAGGGGTCGCTATGAGTCGGGTCTGACTCGACGGCACATAACAACAACAACAACAACATTCTATGATTAAAATTGATAATAAACATAACTAAGTATTCTGTTCAGTGTGGGAGGAGCTTCATTGGAGGGTGACCACTCAACACTGTCACTTGGACACCTCATAACAAAGAATTATCTGATGTAAAATGCCAACCATGACAAGACTGAGTAATCCTGCCCTAAACAAAGAGACCAGACTTACGCTCAGTGTAGATATCAGATTCAGTGTCTGTGCTGCCTGAAAGGGTGAGAAGAGCCTGAGATCCAATACTATTCAAGTCAACCTTCTCAATATCAGATACCATGGAATTCACAACGTGCTGGTCAAAGAGAGCTGGTCTGGCAATCTGCACAGAGAAAGTGAAAAAGACACTAACCTACGTCATTTTTATCTTACTTAAAGAAAAGTGTTAGCTTCTAGAATAATAGTCTCTAGAGGGAAAGATTTCATAAACAACTTTTTTTCCCCTTATTTTGAAACTAAAATAGTTGAAACATGTTCATACATGTTAAGGTTTAAAAAATATTTTTCAACTAAGAAAATGAATCTTTTTATCCATAGTTACATAATGATTTTTAAATGTTACATTTCTTATCTGGAATGATCCCAAATTAATCCTTAACAATTTAAGAGGCTAGAAAACTTCATAAAAGCAAATGATCATGGATAGGAGTATTACATTTTAACAATTTATAAATACGGTATTCCTAAGTTAAGAATTACTTTTTTTCCTCCCGTTTTAAGTTTGAAATGTGTTTGGTTTGTGATTTCACAAAATTAATTATCACAATCTCATTCCCCACACACTAAATTTTTACCAATTGAATTCACACGGCAAGTAAGTGTTTTATATTCTGATTACAGTCAGAAGATGTGTTTGTTGTTGTATTTACTTTTTATTTTTAAATAATTTTAAATTTACAGAAACATTACAAAAATAGTGCAGGGAGTTTCGATATACTTTTCACCAGCTTCCTCTAATGTTGCCATCTTATATAACCACAGTACACTATCAAAATCAGGAAATAAACATTGGTACAATACTATTAACTGAACCTCAGACCCAATTTCAAATTTCACCATTTTTCTACTAACATCATTTTTCTGATCTAGGAGTCAATCCAGGATTTCATATTATGTTTAATTGTTATTTCCCCTTAGTTTCCTTCATTCCACGAATGTTTCTGTTTTTTTCACCAGTAGATTCATTCTTGATTTGGTGGCTCAAAAACTCTAGGCTTACCAACTTACCTGCACAAGATGTAAAAAAGATGTCTGTCGTTTGAGGGAAGATACAAATCTTCGCACAATGGGTATTTTCTTGTCAGTTAGGGCTTCTGGCAAGTTTTCCAAGGATGAAACAACCCACTGTTCCCAATTTTTAGCAAAATTTCTTATGTCTGCTAGTAAGCTACAAAGAAAACTATGTGTTAAACACTACATTGTTCATAAATGCATTAAACAAATGTAGTTGAATGGAGGCATGCTATTATTCTATGATTCCAAGAGCATGACTTTTGAACTCAGACAGATGCAACATAGTTGTGTCATTTATCCTGGTCAAAATACTCCTCAAGCTCCAGCTTCCCTCTCTGTTAGATGGAGATAAAAATAGTATCTGTCTCATAGGATTATGGTAAGAATTAGATTAAATAATTCATGCAAAGTTCTTAAAGTCTGGCAGGCAAGTAGTGTTCAATACTAATAATACTATCACTGTTATTAACTCATGATTCAATCATTTTCTACAAAATATTTCGATGACAATGTAATTGTGCACTTGATTTTGCAACTCTCAACTTTTTGAGACAACATATTAACAGACTGTAGTTTTATAATCCAAATGTAATTTTACAGGATGAACTATCAAAAAAGCACACTAATTATAGGACTCTACTTAGAAAACTACAAAGGTTAGTTGTGAGAACATATTTAAAAAACTAACAATTTACATTCTTTATCTCAACATACAAAATCTAAACATCTGTGAAATTATATGTTTATTAGAAAACAGTGACATGGTACAGGAAAAGAGTAGGTGGAGTTTGGAGTTAAATAGACCTCAGTGAAAGTCTAACCTCTTTTTCTTGCTAAGTAGCTGACTCTAGACAAATAAATTAATTTCTTTCTGCTCCCAAGTTCCTCATTTGTGAATTCTGGATCATAATAGCTACTTTGGAATAGGATGACAAATTGTATTTTTTAAAAAAATCCCAACTCTTAAAAATGAGGAATTGGTTAAATACAGTATTTTTTTAAATATTGATCTATATTTATTTTATTGGAAAGATTTTCACAATACACTATTATGGTATGTATATGATGGTTCCATTTGTTAAATATATGTGGTGTGTTTACAGATACTCCCTGAAAAAAAATCTGTGAGATAACAATGAAGACTTTAACAATGTCACGAGATTATGAATGATTTTTTTAAGTTTACTTATGCATGTTTTAATTTTTCTACAAAGAATATGAATTACTTGCATATTTAAGAGATAAATACATATATAAATAATCCCTTTCAGGCTGATGTCAGAATAATGAAATAATTTATGTAAAGTCTCAAATCCCATGTTGTATTTAATAAAGTTGAATTACTATCATTATTATAAATAATCATAATACTTGATGCCTGCCACTAAGTAAGCACAGCCATTCTTCTGTGACACAGGAATGTGAGCCTTACCTGACTCAGAGCACAGATTAGATATTTAAAAGACTCAAATTGATAATTAAAAGGAATTACTGACAAGGTCAATATCAATTATTATACAAATACATAAAGCAATTTAGAGGAAAAGGTAAATCCAAAATTAAATTTATTTTCTCCATCAGCGTATATTTACTGAACACCAACTATATCCAGTCCTATGTGTATTTTTGCCCCAGAATCCTAAATAAATTTTATTATTTTATTAGAATGTTATTTCTTAAAGAAAAAATTGGTTCTTTTCTCAAATTTCTATTCTTCTCCCACTGGAAAAGTTTTGTAAAAAATCTTCAGGTATCATTTCAATAAACTATCTGCAATCTTATTCTTTTGTTAAAAGGTAATAACTCCATTATGCTGTTTTCTGATGTTTGAAATTAAGACTAAAGTTAATAGCAAAAATATAATAGCTTTCATTATTGTCTTTATTACTGTGGCTATTTTCCATCAATTTTTATTCCTACTTATCTTTCTGAAGCTATTTTCCAATGAAGAATTTTCTCGATATCTTGAAGGTGAATCTCATTTAAATATCTAATTTTCAATTGGCAGCCCTCAAGTTAAAGAGATTTGACTGCTAACCAGAAGGCTCGAAGTTCAAACCCACCAGCCACTCCTTGGAAGGAAGGTTGAGCAATTTACTTCCATAGTGATAGCACTTTGGAAACCCAAGGAGGGGTCACTATGAGTCAGATCCAACTCAAGGGCAATGCGTTGCGTTTTGTTATTTTCCATCAATTTTGTATAATGAGGCTTAAATGTAAGAATTGAGGCAAATCTCTTTCAGATGACACAAAGGGACAAGAGAAGGAATGCAATCTTTTTGGTAAACAAAGTAAAATATTAGTTTCTAATATTTTCCTTTAATATCATGTGTAAGGTTAAACCTACTACTGGGAAGCTAACATGCTTTATTGACTCAACTTACCTTTCAGGCATTTCTTGCATTGTTGCAGGAATGAGTACATCTGTAAGAACCTTAATTACAGCACAAGAGAGTTAGCATAAATCTTTACTGTAGTATTTCTATAAAAAGACACTACTTTTTTTGTCAATTACTTTTTCTAACTAGCTTCCTAGAGAATAACATGTTAGCTCCTTTCTGAAAGTTATAATTTTGTCTCTAAAATGAATGTTTGCATGAGTTGTGTATGTGTAAAGCTAAAGACAGGAGATAAGGGATCTAGAAACATGGGCAACTAAGCAGGTGACAATAACATACTGGGTACAGAGAGCTGATTATGAGGACAGGGAGGGCAATGAAATGAAAGGCCTGGACTGAGCCCTAAAGTGGTTGAGATGGCAGGTAGGTCCTTCATGAAAACTAGTAGGAAGAAGAAATGAGGAAATGATGACTCATCCCAGTTTAGGAAAAACTATGATTAAAAAAAAAAGATGGGGAACTGGGTATGATAAGAGCAGCACAGATCCAGAAAGCTGGGAAATAAACTGAGTGAAAAAGACCCAGAGATCTAGGGGAGAAGATATTTCAAAATATAGATTGACACTAATCTATAAGAACTTTGTAGCCTACCAACAAAATGCATGTGTACTCTATGTATGAGGCAGTGTTGTGTATGTCCCATGTGTTCATTCTCGATGGGTCGGTCTTTGGTGTCATGTATCATTTTGCAGTAGAGCCTGCTGACATAACTGTCAAGCATTCAGCTGCTGCCACAAAGTCCACGGTTGAACACACCAGTTGCTCCGTGGGACCAAAGGCCTGTTGATCTGCCCCCATGAAGATCACATCCTAGGAAACCTTATGAAGCAGTTCTCTGTGAAATGAAAGCTCTGTAAGTCAGGATCAGCTTAACGGCACAGAACAACACTAACTTGTTTTATGGACAAAAAGGTACCGGACACTCCCTAGAGGTGGGATGATGAAGATCTTGCAGAAACGTAACAGAAGCTCATTTTACATTACTCTACCACCGTATTCACCATGAGCAGAAGTAATGAGGTTCATTTAAAGATGCTTGACGTTATGGATTAAACTGTGTGCCCTTAAAATGTACTGGGGCTCTAATCCCTATACCGGTGGTTGTAATTCTGTTTACAAAGAGGATTTTCCTTGTTGTAGTAATTAGATTATGTAATGGTAGGTCCTAATCTAACCATTTCTGAGTTATAAAAAGAGCAGGTTAGACCCAGATATATATATACATATGCCATGTGAGTATCATCAAGGAAACAAGGAATGTTCTGAACTACAAACTAGGAAGGATTCAACAGGGATGAGACCTAATTTGGACTTTCAGCTGCCACAACTGTGAGAAAATACACTTCTGTTCTTTAAAGCCACCCATCTTTGGAATTTCTGTTACAGCAACACCAGGAGCTAAACACATAAACTTGGGAATTTGAGACTGAAAAAAACAGAGGGGTGGTGTAAATAGAAAGAGATCATTTAAAAGAGAGAGAGAAAAAAAAAAAAAAGTACTTTATGAATATTTCTTGAAGGGGCTGGATGGCAATCCCAATAGCTTTGCCTTAGTGGTGGATTATGTGGGTGCATGAGCCCCAGGACTTTTCTTAGTATCAGCTCTTAGAGCTACCTCCTTTTTCCTTCTGATTATTTCCTCAGCTGTTAAGCATCACAGATATTCTTTTCTTTCTAAATGATGGCATTCTTAGTTGACCCAGAAAAATGAGACAATCTTCTACCTGTTTGTCCTTACTCAGCTCTAACTTGAACTGAAGGTAGAGAATACACTGCACTGGCTACTCCATTCTCTGATCACACGATGAGTGAGAACTGAGCAGAGGATGACTATATGGGGGCCCCAGTGACACCAAGAGGGTGTGTCCTCATCAGAACAATTAACTATACAAGATCAAGAGGGCAGGGTTTGTCCAGGGATAGAGGTAGGACAGCAGGAAGGGATGGGAAGGGGAAGAGACAGGAAGGAAGTGCTGAAAGAAGTGGGTGGTGGGTGGTAGGTTCGGGGAAGAAGTAAGAAGAGTGCTGTTGCATTGTTGGGAGTTTAGTGAATGTCACAAAACAGAATTTGTAGGGATTGTTGAACGGAAAACCAATTTTCTATAGAACTTTTACCCAAATCACAATTTAAAAAAAAAAAATCTTTTAAGAAAAATATGGGTTCCCTCTTTCTGGCTGAGACCTATCAATTCTTGGTCTGAAAAACCATTTTTGGACCGAGTCTACCTACCTTCTGCCTCTCTTTTCTGTGAAGTTGAAAACTGAAAGCAGTAATGAATTTAGGTTTCTATTTCTTAAGTGCTTAAACAGAGTCCCAGTCTGGCTTTACTTGTTCAGATTACTTTTTAAAACGAAATATTTTTCCCCTTATTGCAATTTAATAGATAAATGTAAACAAATTCATTTTAAAGTACTCAGATTGCAATTTTGTTTTTTCCAAGAGCTTGGATATTTTGGCACTGTGACCAGGAAAAAGACCACAGGGCATTAGTTTCTCTACCTTCACCACTAGACGTTTGGCTAAAAAGGTCTTTGTTCAGGATGTCTTCATGATCCTTCTGCAGACACTTGAGGATTTTTATTCTCTTTGGGATCAGAACTGGACACTAATGGATTAAAGCTAGAGACATTCAAGATCTTCAAATTATTAATCCCACGAGGGTTAATTCTGCTTTTGCTACATAAATTAATTTGTAGAATTAATTAGGAAATCCTAATTCTGCTTTTGCCCAAAATACTGAAGTTGTGAAAAAGATATATTATTTAACCTGAAACACCTTAAACAGTTTATAAAAATTAGCTAGGTTTTCATGTATTAGTAACTATGTCACATTTAGAATCATCTTAGTTTTGAGCAAAAATTGATTTGTGTTTTATTTTATATAAACTTAAGATGATTGTTTTCTCATCAGGAAAAAAAAAAAATGATAGTGTATCTCCAGCCAGAAATAACAAATTTATTGAAAACATTTTATAAGAATTTTAATAGATTGCTATTTAAAGAATATATCGTTCATCTTTAAGGCATTCAGAAGTCCTTACCTTATAAAGAATTGAGTCACAAACACAGAAAATGTCAATAATAACAGGGTTTTCGAGCAGGGGAAGAAGATGATCAGGCATTCCTTGCCAAAAGTGTAATAAGAAATGCTGGATCTAGTTGCAGAGCAAAGAGTATGGATGTTAAGATTTTCCGTTAATATGAATGCGTATAAAGAACAGGACATGAAAGCATCTATAATCTGGTCAACAAGGCATTCTTCGTCACCCTTACCTCTTCAAAGTTTCCATTAATTGCATTGTCCAGGATACACTGGCAATGGGTTTTGTACATCATGATGAGAGTATCAACCTATTTAAAAGAAGAAAATGCTTAACCAAAGTGTCCTTGTAACATTTCCTTCACTTGTTCATTCATTCAACGTGCATTTTTTAAAGCTCCCACTGTGTATCTGGCACTGTGCTCAATGCTGAGAAATCACAGACAAAGGCAAATTCGTACTGTCACGGGCCTTCCTGACTGGTGAAGGGAGAAAAGCAGGCAAATCAACAATTACAGCGGAGGACAGGAACAGTGAGAATGTAGCAGGAAGCTGCATACTAAAGCAGCATTGTAACTTTCAGTCTAATAAAATTACCTTTTATTGGGGAAATAAACAGAAAATGGTTAAATATGTTAACTCTTCACATGGTTTTATTAAATGGTTGCTTGTAACACTGTGGCACAGTGGCTTCAAGTTTTGGTTCTGGGGTTGTTTAAACATGAGTACTAGCTCCACTAGGAGCGCTGGTGGTGTAGCGCCTAAGGCACCTGACTGCTAACCAGAAGGCTGGTGGTTCAAACCCGCCAGCCTCTCCTCGGAAGGAAGGTTGGGCAATCTACACTCACCTTGAAAACCCAAGGAGGGGTCACTATGAGTTGGGTCCAACTCGATGGCACATAACAACAACAACAACACCAGCTCCACTACTCTGCTTACCAGGTATGGCTTTGCACACATTGCTTTGTCATTGATCTTCAGGTTTTTCATCTTTAAATAGGGTAGTAATAACATATTACTTGTATCATGTTAAGATTAAATAAAGTCAGGTGTGATGCACATAGTATAGTGCCTAGCCCACAGTATCTCACTAAATCATACCTAGAATTACTAACAATATCAAATGACTCATTTTCTTGAAAAGGATTCAACATTGAGCATTGATTGTGAAATGTCTCTTTTTTCCAATTTGCCAAAAATATTTGAACATAGTTTAAGAAATTTGAAACATATTCTTAATTTGCTGTGGACTAGAACTAGATTCATACTTCAGCAATTTAACAATATGCAAAATAAATCTTCATTTCATACACTAGATATGTCTGTATCTATAATTTGTTTTGTGCTTTGTGTGAACAAGTTTATATTTTATAGGTTAAAACTATGAGCTTTGCTGTTGGACCTGGATATAATCCCAGCTCAGATTTGCCATTTACTGTCTGTGTGACATCTGGGCCAGACACTTAGCATTTGTGTGCATTCATTTCATTGTTTTAAAAATACAGCTGACAATAACAGTAGCTCTTTAATATGGTTGTTATGGGGATTGAGTTAATTAACACATGTAAAGCAGTTAGAATGAACCTAATTCATGTTTAGAAATCAGTAGATGTTAGTACTTTAATTCCCAGTAGCATTTAGGGTGGTGGTAATGAGGGAGGTGGCCTACCCTAACGTTTGCCCTCCACCCTATATTCCTGCAGCCCAGTGAGAATCACACATCTTTGTGTCTAGCTCACAGCTGTGTAACGATGACAGACAAATTGCCAACCTACCTCCAAGGAGGAATGCTGACTACAGGACACCTCTCACAGGAAATGTCACCATCAACGCAAATAAGACTTGCTATGTACTTTAGGCAATATCGTTATGTTTTCAGATGGGTGCACAATATACACTTCTTAGATAAGGATTAGGGCAACAGGAAGAACGGAAGGTTAATCATAACTGTTGTCGAATATTTTTAACCCTTTGAGTCCTGAAATTTACTAAAGTATAAGTAAAATTTTATCATCACAAGTTTCTCCCTTTTTATGTCAGGATTTATTTCTTCATACACAAATCATCAAAAATGTGTAATCTTAACTATTGGTACTTTCTTTGTTTATTTAATATTTACATAGTCTTGAAATAATGAATTTTAATTGCAATACTTTGTATTCTTTAACAAAAATTTTACTCAAGAACACAGGCAAGGCTTACCTTCATGAAAATCAATGAACATGTGGTAGGGGTGACAGCTGCTTTGGTTGACACCATGATGAGGCAGAAAGTAGACCCCCCTAACTTCACCTAACACCCTTCACTGGAGTTAGCACCCCATTAGGCAATCTCTATCCTTTCTGCCTCAATAAAACAGGCGCTTAAAGTGTTTAATTTCAGCCCACCCCTCCTCTGGGATTGACAATTTATCTAGGGAACTTGTCTACTGGCCATGAAGGTGAAAGCCAGGGCTCAGATATCCTCAAGGGACAAACAGGTGTGTCAGTCCTTGGTGTTCACGACAGGGTCTACTGGGAACGAACTTAGAAATCAGGGCTTATATAAGACCTTGATATGTGAGGGAGAAATTATCAACAGCCCAGCTTTTTAAGTTGACAGGTAAGAAATTCCTTGGATGCTAGCAGAGAAACTGAAATGAATTATCGGAACATGATCCCCACGCCCTTTTTTTCCCCCTTTTTTTCTTCCTCTTTCCTGCTTTCACCACGTGTATTTACCCAGTAACAATCTTCATAATACGTCTGCATGTAAGCAATCCTCCCCAAAAAGGTGACCCGATAATTTTCTCTCCCCAAAACCTGTGTTCCCTCAGGTCCCTCTTTTCACAGGTTTCCCACCAACTGCTACACATTAACATTTACTAGCAATTTTGCAAACCTGAAGTCCTAATATCACAATTGCATTTATAAGGTAAACACATTTTTTTATAAACTTGAGAAATGTGATGGGAGAGCAAAATAGTAGGAAGTAGAAATATGTCAGAAGACTTGCTTGGAATCAGTATCTGAGAATTATTTTCAATATTTTGCCGATTTTAAACTGGTTCCCTCTCTTCAGAATGAACCCTGGAAGTTACTGTGCATCCCTATTTACTTATCAGTAGATCTTTATATCAATTGTTGTATTAATTTTATATTTTGATACAGAGCCCATTGTTAAAGTAATATAGCTAGACATTGGTTAATACATCTGAGCACCTCAAAAAACATGTGAACTGGCTATGAAAAGTGTTTTCCTCAAATGCTAACGAAATATCATCTTTAGATGAAAGAAAAGACTAAATATATCAATCAGTTATAATCTGATTTTATAGTGGACGTTACTATTAGTCAGCCAGTGCAACCCC